CAAATACGTCTTATTGTTTCTCATTGTCATATTTAAAAAATAGGTACAAGGAAAAATATACCTAAATAATTGATTATTAATTGCTAACATGGAAGTCAAAACTTCATTACAATTCATTAGTACACAACAAAGACATTCATAAAAAATAATGCAGGTTAAAAAAATAAGTCGTATTTGTTTATTTCAATACTTCACAATGTGTATAATATAACATGCGTGCATGCGCGCACGCGTAAGTGTGTTTAGTTTAGTGATATAACTTAATTTCGTGGAGACTGCCCCGAAATATATGTAAAAATGACACTGATGATAAGGAACTCTTTCCTAAGAAATTGTATTAAACCAGTCGTTAACAAATTGTCATGTATTTATATAATGAAGAAAATATAATTGCTTGCACTAAAACAAGCTTCTTTCAGTTAAATTCGAATCATTCGGATGAAATATTATCCGTTTACTAACTGTGATACATTGCAGCCCTACCGCCTTAAAAGCACGTTGTCCTTTGTGATACAAATAATCTGTGAGATATTGTTGTGAAATGAATCTTAAAAGCCGATGAATTAAATACGCCTGTAAGGTTCTTGATGATTGGTTTGGTCGGCTATGCGTCAATGGACCTTAATCCGATATTTCATAGGTTGCGTAAGGTTAACCTAGACAAGCATTTTTTCATATATCTGATTGACCTTCATGTTGATAAAATCGTGATTATGGCTAATTAATGCACTTTTATGACAACTATAACATTTTGCAACTTAAACAACAATACATAGTCAATTAACTGAGACACCAGCATGAATCGGTTCGATTATGTGTTTCATGTTAAACGAGAATTTTGAATAAAGATGTGAGCTGAGTTGGCGTAGACCTTTAGAAACAAACAATACCCCTATATAAGACGATTTAATGTCAGTTGTGACAATAGTCAATGCAAAGTGTCTCACCATCTTGGTTTTGTTCCTACAGTGTCAAAAGTATCTTTTGTTTTTTGGCCAGAGATGACACATATTCGAAATTGACCTAGAAATCATCAATACAACCTTCCTGACAACTTTTCAAAATATTTTTAATCAAAACTACTATCGAGTGTTAATAAGATTTTACTAGTTTAACTCTGGTGACCTAGTTTTTGACCGAGATAACCCATATTCAAACTTGACCTAGAAATCATTAAAACCATTTTCCTGGCCGATTTTCGAGATATTTGGATCAAAACTGCAGCAACTTGAGTGTTAACAAGGTATTTATATTTTTAGCTCATTTAACCTAGTTTTTGACCGGAGACAACTCGTATTCAAACTTGACATAGAAATCATCAAAACAACCTTTCTGACAACTTTGCAGGCTATTTGGATCAAAACAGCAGTCAATAAAGTGTTAAAAAAATTTCTATTTTAGCCCCTGTGACATAGTTTTTGATCGGAGACTATCCATATTCGAACTTGACCTAGAAAAATATCAGAACAACCTTCCTGACCAATTTCCAGAAAATTTGGATCAAAACTGCAGCCACAAGAGAGACTTTTTTTATATTTTAGCTATTGAGACCTAGTTTTTGACCGGAGAATACCCATATTCAATTTTACCTAGGAATAATCTAAACAACCTTTCTGACTAATTTCCAGGTTATTTAAATCAAATCAGTAGCCACTAGAGTGTTAAATAGATTTTTCTATTTTTCGCCCCTGTTACCTAGTTTTCGACCGAAGACAACCAATATGTGAACTTGACCTAGAAATAATCTAAACAACTTTGCTAACTAATTTCCATGATATTTCGATCAAAACTGCAGCCACTAGAGTGTTAACAAGATTTTTCAATTTTAAGCCACTGTTACCTATATTTTGACCGGAGACGACCCATATTTGAACTTAACATAGAAATCATCAGAACAACCTTCCTGACAAATTTCAAGAATATTTGGATACAATGTTTTTCTATTTTTAGCTTTTGTGACCTAGTTTTTGACAGATGATGGTCCGTGTTCAAACTTCTTTTAGAATTCATCAACAAAACTTCCTGGCCAATTTCCAGGATGTTTGGATCAAAACTGCAGCCACTAGAGTGTAAACAAGCTTTTTCTATTTTTAGCTCCTGTGACCTAGTTTTTGACTGGAGATGACCCATATTCGAACTTTACCTGTATTTCATTGAGACAAACATTCTGACAAAGTTTGATTATGATCCAATATAAACTGTGACTGCTAGAGTGTTAAAAACCAAAATGTAAACAACGCGCAACGCACAACGTACGACGACGAACGCCGGACATAGCTCAAAAGGTATTTAAATACCGAAAAGTTAAATACAGGAAATATGTTATTGGTAATACATAATAATGATATAGTGTTATAAATGTGGAAAAAAATGTAAACACGATGAAATTTTCGACTAAAAAAATCTTGGTTTTCACATTATTACATTTTGATAATTTTCGTTGCATTAAATGCTCACATGTGATTGTACAACCAGAACCCGAAAATGGGACAATGCAAAAAAGGGTAGATATGCAACAATGCATCGAAGTTAATAATGCAACAGTTCGTAAAAATGAAAGCATTACAAAGTTTGACTTCTTGTATTTTCGTCATAGACAAAGAAACGGCACATGAAATTTGGACAGTTGAAATATTTGATATGACTTGTTTTCGTCTTTCTTTTGTCACAACGGAAATATGAAAAATCACACAAGATGATATGACACAATTTGCTGATCAAAAGCGACATGTTGTGAATTTGCCACCGTTTATTTTCACAAATGAAAAAAAAATCAGAATTAAAAATAAGCATAATTATTATATCTAATATTTATCTAAAATGAATAATATATAGACGTTTATTACATGCTTTTCGGTGGTTTATAAAAATATATCAGTGGTATAAAAATGGTAATTTCACTGTTTGAAACAGTGAAATTACCACTTTGATAATTTCACTGTTTTGAATTTAAGCCCCTTACGTTGTTTCAGTGAAATACCGCCGTGCACAGTACTGGGTACCAACTTAATGACGTGACGTCGTAAATGACGTCACGTTGTATTATTATTTGGCGCGCTTATCATTCAGTATTAGGTTTAATGTCTTTTTAAAACGTTTCTTTGCATATAATAAAAAGAAAATTTGTTTAGTTTAGTGTAAGATCGAAATATATTTCACCTTGTGAACACCAAAAGTTCATATTTCACTCGTGGCTGCGCCACTCGTGAAATATACCTTTTGGTGCTCACTCGGTGAAATATATTCCGATCTTACACTGAACTAAACAAATATCCTCTATTTATTTATGAAAAAACTGACTTATCATCTTGATATTTAAACACGATAGACAAAGGAACACTATAAAACGACCATATAAATTATCTCTTCGGCGAACAAGAAGTTACAAATTCAATTTCATACATGAGTACTCGCGGGAGTATAATGACATTAGAATACAGTATATTAACCTGGACAAATATTACGAAAGAGCTGTAGTGAGATTTCAACTTCTTGAATTCTAGGGTCCATCTCTACAATTTTCATTTCGCGAAGATGAAATAATGATATCGTAAATTTTGCATATTGAAATCGTGAATTCATAAGGTTGAAACTGCAAACTCGTGAACAGTTGAGCCTTTCAAAATTACTAAAAATTGCATTTATTTTATTTATTATAGCCAAAATAGTTTTTTTACTAAAATTGTATTGAACCGGATATAATTATTAGCTTTATAAGAAAGCGACTTTGAGTGAAGATATATATAAAGATGTTCAGCCTTTACGAGTCATTGGTGGGACTACATAATTATTAATGAAAAGGAAAAAAACACATAATATCAGTGTACATTATTATGTGTTTGTTAGGTGCTTGTCTTCAAAACTGTTCTTGTATTATTACATATTCTTGTAAATGCTGTCATTGTACACTTTATTCATGTTATACATGTACGGTCAATGTAACCTCGTATTGTTTCATCAATGTACCTGCTAAAATACTCTCCTGTCGTGCCACTACCGTTCAAATTCTTACTTACGAAGTATATTCACTTACCTACCAAGGCAGCGTACTGCAACAATATATTGCAGTGGTTTAACGAACTACAGTTACATTAAACAAATAATATGCTTAGCTATCCTAAAATCCTCATTCTAACACTATCGGAAATTTTTCTGTATTACAAAGAAGGCCCGAAGCGTGCATTATTTCACAACAATGCACTCGCCAGTCTTATTATCTCCCTGTGTATTTTCACTTTGAGGGCAATGGTCTAACTAAGAAAATGAATCCAAACACCAATATCTTTAATTCAGTCGTTAACGCTGTACAGACGTTAAAAGTGTTGTTTACATGACGTCACAATGTAGCGCCAAACATCAAGTGTAAAACAATCAAATCAAGTACGCTATTTTAATGTCGCAAACGAGTTAAGTTTTACATTTATTCAACTTTTAATAATATGTATTTCGCTTGAAAAGTTATAAATTGAAATAAAATAAACAAACAAAGTTTTATCAACGTTTTCAAAATTCGTTATTCTACACACGGTAGATTTAACGGCAGTGTTGTTTCAACCCACAGGAACAGCCTTTAAAGATCGTTTCTATTGGAAACTCTGAGGTAAAAACAAATCTAACCACCAAACATAAAGTCCAACTTAATAATAATAATTATATTTTTTCTTGACGTGTTAGAATGGAAATAGATATTAATTCTTCTATCATTATTGTATAATAATGCACGTATGTCGTTCAAATACTTTAGTCCTATCGGCCTTCTTGATTATATTACTACGCATTTGAACTCAAACCGTGCATTATTCTACAACAATGCACTCAGAAATGATATCTATTTCCTAATTTTACCTTATCAGAGCAGTATTGCATTGAATTGTCGTAAAGTGTATTGTGTTTAAATAATTAACAAAATTACTTTAAAGGCATAAAGTAACTTACATGATATGTAATGATAATGCGACGATTTTATACATGTTTGTGTGTTCACCTTCAGCTGGACGTATGCAAGGCACGTTTCAAACATAATCTGGTCAAAACTAAACTTGCGTTTGAATTTAATTATGTTTCATGACAAACACTTAAATGTTTTAACCCACAACTGACACTTCACATTTATCATGATTGGACGGTAATAGCAAGGTACGTAATATTTTAGTTAATGTTTTCGACATTAAAGAACGAAATACTTTTTTATGTAAATTATGAAGAAAAAAAAGATAAATCAGTCGCGGCATTGCCAAGTGATTAACGCGTGGGATAGTTTTTCTAGAAATCGCTAGTCGCTTGGGTTCACCCCGTCAGGGCCAAGTCTTTTTTTTCTAAAGCACCCATTACTCAGTACTGATTGGTTCCAGGAAAAGATTCGAAAGTGTGTATTTAAGTAGTTTTCTTAACAATCAAACTAAAAAAAAATCTGTATAAATCAAAGATAAATCAACAAAACGCACCATCGCCCGCACCCAAAAGTGTCTAGTAGCGACGACTAATTAATAAATAAAGGGAGTACATATCCCTTGCGTTTCCTGTCTTTTATCTGTTAACTAAAAATTTATCTAGATAAATTTTTAGTCAAAAGCTAATAATGAATGTTGGTTTCATGTCCATAGCGTTTCTTGTCGGCTATCTGTTAACTGCATATCTATCTAGATAAATTTTCAGTAAATAGATAATGCGGGATGTTTCGGAAATCTTATCTTTTATCTATTATTGTATAAATGAAAATTTATATATGAAAGGTAAATAGGAATTTTTTTGACATATTTCTTGTGTCTGTTTACTGAAAATTTATCTAGATGAATTTTCAATTAATGGCTAATGCGGAATGTTTCGGAAATTACGGAAGCTTATCAGGGCCTTCACTTATCTAAAAATTTCACGTCATGTCAACTTGTTTCTTCTCGTTTTGACCAAAAACGTTCAATGAAGACGTTATGATTAATACGTAATACATAAAACATTCCATGAAGACGTTATGATTAATACGAAATACGTAGAAGTTTTTAATCATTGCAAAAAAAACTTTGTTGAATCACGTGAGCTATTTGTCAATGCGAGTAACGTATTTGCGACTTACTAAATATTTCAGCAAAGTCGTGAAATCAAGAAGTTTCGACAGGATTTTTGTCGAAGAGACAAAAGCTTCAAGCATATCGAGAAAAATTTAGTTGCAATTCCTAAAACCTTCTCATCTTTGTCAGTAAATTTTATTGAGAAATGCAAAAACATCGTATCAATGCGAATAAAAATAAGTCGACTTTGCGAAAAACATCTCACTAACTGTAGGCCCTGATACGCTTCCGTAGAAAATCTGTTTTTTATCTTTTCAATGAAAATTTATATAGATAAATGTTCAGGTAATATGTAATGCGGAATATTTCCGATATCCCTTGTGTCTGTTTCCTGAAAATTTATCTAGATATACAGACAATTATCTGATATTTTTCTTATTAACTAACTTATACAGCATTTATGTAGATCATAATATAATTATCTGTTATTTAACGCGTAACAGAAAACTTTTCTAGATTACCACTGAATGTGTTAAATAATACTAAGAAACGAAGGGATATGTCCGAAATCTTCCACATTATTGTTTAACTAAATATTTATCTAGTAACATAGATGACTTATCTGACACTTAGATTATCATACACAAAAATTTAACGGATAAACAGATAAATTAAATATATGTTATTTAACTGGTAAGTGTTAGCTAGACTGGGGACGTTTTAGTGTTTTTGGAAGTAAGATACTTTATTTATATAACAGAAAACACATCTAGTTAGCCTGATAAATATATGTTATTTATCGTGTTAACACGAAAAGTAAGTAGTTTGTCAGATCGTTACCGCGATAATTATATGGTTATTGATGGCAAAAATATGCCTACATGGTTTGTGGTACTTAGTTCTAGCTCTTTCTCCCTTGTTTTCCATGCTTGGATGGTACAGTAGTCCATTTGAATACTGTATAATCACGTTATGATATGTTGCCTGCTTTTTCAAATTGATTTCTGGCAACTTATCTGTGATATGCAGGCTTAATAACCTTCATCGCCTGTTCTTTATGTCAATATTATGATCTAGATTTAAAATAACTCTTCTTATCCACCAATAAGACCACCAGTCTCAGCCCCCAGTTCACTGGTTTATTCTTTATTGACCCTTCTATGAAAACCACTGATACCCAGTCAACACCTACTTAAATCACACATTTATTATTATTATCTGCTTCATGTATCTCTTTAAAAGTCCTGGCAACTAACAGTACTCACCAATCAATTTACAAAAAAATGCAGAATAATAATTACAATGTAATTCCTGGATATAACCAGTACTTGGATAATTTAAAAGCAATATATCAAAAAAAAATGACAGTTCAAATCAAAATGTCTGAGGGAAAAAATCTAAGTAATTTTATGTAACGAAAAATATCAATAATTGATTCTGTTAATCAATTACCAATGACTTGACAATGCTACACCGTCTAACCAAATAACTTACCAACCAAACAAACGCCAAAAACAAAACAAACCGAAACAAAGACACGATAGCACTTACTTTCAACTCAAGCACACATACTTTCACGCGAATTGGTACTGGGTGTTAATTTGTTAGTTCAGGAGAGTAACAGACAGAAAGATCAGAAGTAGATTTTATGTATATATGAATTCAATACACTGTTACACAATGTAAACAATAAACGCAGTAATAAGAGCCTTAGGTTTTCTAAATATCAATTTCAATGTAAACAAAAATTATTCAAAGACAAAGAAAGTTTTCTAAATATCTATTTGAATACGAGGGGTGTCCCAGAATTACGTGGACTTTTGCTGTAACTCAAAAACTACTGAAAATAAAAACAAACAAAATTAACATGAACAAAATGCAACTTTATTGCATTAGTACAAAAAATTTCAAAGTTGTCCGGCAACTGGATCAGTGTCTGTGGGCAGGGTAATGAGACAAGGGGTAGCGGGTGCGGGGCAGTCCATTCCGACGTTACGACGTCATTCCGGTGGCGTCGCTAGTTGTTAATAAATGCGTGGCGTCGAATGTCAGTTTTTCTCAACATAGTCGCCGCCTAACTCAATACACCTATGGTGTCGATATATCCACTGGTCGTACACCGCCCTGTATAATAATAATAAAGCATACTATTAACTTTTGTTACGATAATAGTGTTAAAGACGACGGTGATAATGCTGACGCCGTATTATTATTATTATTATTATTATTATTATTATTATTATTATTATTTATCATTATTATTTTTATTATTATCATTTTTATTATTATTATTCATTTTATTATCATTATTATTATTATTATTATTATTGTGGAGTCAATTTTGTACGCACAGACAATGTGCGTTAACAAGAGAAATAACTTTTCATGCGCACTGCTTACTATAGCAGTTTGAGTTCACTTTCTTAAAAGCTGAAGCGGATAAATTACGTTTAAAATAATAAATTGTGATTAGCTTAATTTTTAAAAATCATTATTTTAAACACAAAATTATTGCTTACCCTTGAATAGTACTCAGCATTGACCTTGGAGTAAGGCCTGTCCCGATCTATGACGTCATTGACTTCCTTAATTGAAGCCGCAGCCAACGTTGACTTTCTCCCACGAGCTTTGTCGTCTTCAATGTCCTCTCGGCCGTCTCGAAAACACTTATGCCACTTGAAAACGAGTGATCGACAAACAGTAGGTCTCACTTTTGCAATCTTCAAAATTTCCTGCGTCTGTGTTGGCGTCTCCCCAAGATTAACACAAAACTTGATGATAGTCCGATTTTCCGCGTAATCCGTGGACGTCATTTTTTGTTAAATATCCAAGAGCAACGGTTGTCAGTTGTCCGCTGGTAAACAATAACGGAAACAGCTATGACGTCAAAATTTCAACTGAACGTTCATATGCCGTCACTGCATATGCTTACGACGTCGCGCCTTTTATTAGGTATAAATACGCAAGATATACGAAAGTAAAGACAACTTATTATTACAAAATATTGGACTGCCCCGCCCTGCGTATACTGCGTTTCTATAGCGACGTAAAATATAGAGAAGCAATGTTAGAAATTTAAAAATAATGGACATATTCATTAAGGATATGTTAAAGGTATTGTGTACAAATTTGCTAAAAAATGCATTAAAAAATAAAAAAGTTATAATAGCAAAAGTCCACGTAATTCTGGGACACCCCTCGTATATCTATTCTATCAATTTTTTACAAAAATAACCCAGATAAATAATTGCAAATCAATGTAGTCAATTCAATATTAGTAACAAAGTATTTACAAACACAAATTCTATATATACAAATATACTAACAATCACATAATAAATAAACAATAACACTATTTTTAAAAAGATCTATAAAAATGTATGAGAAATAGATTTAAGTATATTATATTTAATATAAACGATCTAATTAAAATGTATGGCCTATCCGATTTTTTTATTATTAATTTTACAAGATCGCGAAATTGTGTGACAAATTTACATTCATGGTATTAGAGAAGTTGAATTCCTTAAGTTTGAACTATATACCAATAGGAAGACCAATGATCCTCGCGGTGACCCGGATTATGCCTCAGAATTATAATTTGAAGAAAATTGTAAGAGGTCCACAAGACACAATTTCTGACAAATTTATATCAGATTTGTATTATCGTCAAGGCTTGATAAATATATTTTAAGTGTTTTCTGTATACAAATAAGGTTTTTTTTAACCCTATTAGGCAGGTTTAATTTTGAACAAACTTGGTAAACAATGTTTTATGCCGAATATCTTAGCTCTTTAGAGAAAAAAGAATTTTTAAGCTGTTTCTGTATAAACCTACATGGAAACACATGACCCATCTTCGCAATGAAACTAATTTAGACCGCAGTGCTATCATTTGAATAAATTTGGTAGAGGTCCATTATAAAATTCTTGATCCTAAATAATATAAGCTTTGACTTTCATTATATGAGCTTCAACTATATACAAGTAAGGGATATCCATGAACCCACCGATATTATGTTTAACTGAACCCCAGGGCTACAATTGAACACACTTGGTAGAGGTCATCAAAACAAATTTTAATGCCAAATATCTTAGTGTTAGCTTTAATTGTTTAGGACCCGGCCTACG